AGAGCGAATGGACCTCCGACATTATAGACTCGAAGCTCCAGTTAGGCTCAGGTTCAAGTGCAATCCTGTGAAGTCTTTGGCAACAACGATGCTCCAACTTCATAGGTCCCCTGAAATAGAACGTTGAAGTAAAAAATTCGTGTTCCTTCCAACTTTGCAATCAAATTGAAACTGCCTACCTCTCGATGGATTTCCTTTCGCTTGCCTCTTCCAATCTGAACATCGGTCGCCGCCGAGCTTCTTCCCTCCTGCAATCTGAATATCGATGCTTGCCTACACCAGCCCACCCTAGAAAATAATGGAGAAATATATGAATCAGAAAAGGCGAGCCAATTTCTGTGGGCAAGAGGGAGCAACAGCAAGGGGAACTCACCAGCTCATCTGTCCACAGCCATCCATGTATGTAGGAGCAGAAATTTTAGTGCTGGAGCGTTGCTTCGAGAGGATGATATAATTCTTGGCGGGAAGGAAGGAAGAAGATGTGAGAGCGGAAACGGGAATTCGGCGTGGAGAGGAAACTGTGGAAATCATGTGCAATATGAACTTCTGTAAAGCTGGAATGGGCGATTTCAAAAGCAAGAGGTAGTCTAGGGGCGAGGCAAGAGGTAGTTGCCAAAAGCAGTGGCATGAAACTCGCCCCTCAAGAGTCACGACCCTAATTAAGACGGGGCCAAACTTCGCTTTGTCGGCCACTGTAAGAGAAGAAACCGGAAACGCGCGTGTTTTGAAGTCGGAGGACAGAGGAGGTGAGAGCTCAATGGAGAGGGAATTTGGGAATGGGGGGCCAAGGTTCGCTTCTACGAAAATGGCAAGAGAAGAAGCAAAGCCCGCGTGGATTCTGAGGCCGCACGACGGACACGGAGCATGGGCCTTGGCGTGTGGAAGGAGCCAGCGAGTCGGAGAAGCAACCCGTAGAGGAGGAAGGGAGTTGTCCATCCCGGGAATTGGGGTAAAAGTACAGTATGAACTGCTTTGCACGAAGGAGGTAAGGAAAATTGGGGACAAAGTCAGGTAGGGTTCATTTAAGAAATGGAAGCAAAAGGAAGCTAGAAAACGAAAAAAATAATATATATTAAATTGCATTCTTGGCCAATAAAGCGTACCCATCTTTTATGTTTAAAGAATATATGATAATTGTTTGGACAAGGGAAAACGAAGTGATGAACTAATATATGCTCCAAGTGATAAGTAAGGAAGGGGTCGTTTGGATGAGTTTTTTGGTTGTGTGGTATTTGTAAGTTGAAATAAATAACTCATCTATTATATGTGTGGTATTTCAGTGGTATTTGTAAATTTTGAGAACTCAATTGTCTTGTTTGGATGCTTGTAAAAGATGAGTTATTTGGTATGTGGTATTTCTAACTAAAACTATTAAAATACTAGTATGTCCTTTGTTCTTTGTTGGCCATGTATATATTTATAATATCAATTAAAGCCCCCCATCCCCTAGGGCTGCAAATGAGCCAAGCTACTCGCGAGCAACTCGAGGCTCGGATCGGGAAAAACTCGTTCGAAACTCGACTCGTTTACTAACGAGCCAAGCTTGAGCTTAGCTTTGTTCAGCTCGTGAAGCTCGCGAGCTAGCTCGACTCGGTGGCTTGTTGAGCTCAACTCGTGAGTTGGCTCATTTAGAGCTCATGAGATGTCTCAACATTGTGGTTTGAGGGTCAACTTGCAATTGATCACTGACTTATGGACGAATCGATCTAATTTGGACTTTCATAATTCATAAGATTGTTAAATTATATATCTCACCTCATGTGAAGTTTAACATGAAAGAAAATATGTCTTATTTTTAATTCTATAATGAAATATGTACAAAATTGTTTCGATACTATGAAATAACATGATTTGGACTAGTTAAAATTTATTAACTAAACAATATAACACCTTCAAATTATTATATAAGATTAATTAATGTTGAACATTTGATTATTATTATTTTTATCATTATATCAATCACATGTACCATACAGTACACGACTTACAAAATGAATGTATCAAATACGAACTGAGAATTAAGTAAACAAGCCTAACTCGAACTCGACTCGACTCGGCTCGTTAATAAATGGCTCGAGCTCGAGCTCAGCTCATTTGTTAATGAGTCAAGCTCAAGCTGGGGTAAAACTCGGCTCAGCTCGGCTCATTTGCAGCCCTACCATCCCCCACCCACCCCACCCAACCCTCTATTGTCGAACAAAACACATTCCTCTCCCTTCTTTACCATTATTACCCATGTATTTTTATTAAGCTACTCCATTCGAATTAAAACCAGAAGCCCATAAGTTGGCTTCTTAATGATAAAAACTAGCTTGATTTTCCTACCATAACTTGGACATATTCTGCAGAAAAGTCCAGCAACACATAGGCTCCACAATTGATGTTAAACCCAACATATACACTTGTTCACCCATGGACAATTCCTGTAAAAAATTGGCATAATGGAAGCTAGAATAAACATGTCTTAAACCACTATAGCCATGTCTTCAAACATTTACATCGTTCAGTGTACTATTAAGCTGCACTAATAAAAGACATACAATTCTTTACAAAAGATGGTTGTCATTCTACTACAACCATTTGCAAAAGACAAATTCACTTCTGCATAGAAGATTGTGACTTTTCTCTGCCAATTCCAGCAAGCTTTCAAGAAACGGACCATCGTGTGATGCATCCCTGAAGTTGTATTCAGTTTTGTAAGCTTCTCCAGCATCGCCTGCAACTTTCCTTTTCCTCCCCATGCCTGAAAGCTCAACCACATCACATATATAACACATTAATACATAAACTTTTATTCCAATACATGCCCTCGACATCCCTCTATATATCAACTAATTATAAGATATGTTGTTAATTGCATCTTTCTCCAGCACATGCCCTCGGCACAAGATGTAAATAAAACAACAACAAATTAATTCCTCCCACAAATGGCAATTTGTTCTAATTGATGAGAGATCAAGCATGTAAACAACATAAGGCGAAAAGAAGCTACGAATGGTGGACTTGCCAACAGTTGAACCATCCCAATTCTAACCCCAAAAAATAAAAAATCAAAGATGGAAGGACTGTAGGTGAGAGATTTGAAGAAACTAACATTGCCAGCAATTGAACCGTCGAGATGCTTATCCCCTTCCTTCTACAGCCCAACGTCGTCGCCGCCGGAGATCGTCGCTTTACTTCCTTTGCGGCGAAGTTCAGCAACAGCGGGAGATAAAAGTCAGAACAAGAAAATGGAAGAAGAAAATAGCACGAAGAAGAGAGAAGAAGGAGAAAAAAAAGGGGACGTCTCGATAGCTATTATGTGGGTGGGGCCAAGGACAGGACGGGAAGAGAAAAGGGGCAAAACTAGTTAATTGTAAATAACAGCTCCTCCCCTGTTATTTCAATTACCGCGTTTATGCAGTATTTGTAATTAACCCGTACCCAAATACTACGGGAACTATTATTTATCGCCCTAATAATTTAAATTTATCGCCCTAAAGCACATCAAAGTTACTCAATTGCCCTTGTTTTAATGGGTTCACCCGCCTCCTCCCGAGCCAAGCGAATTCCCAACCGCTTCTTGCCCAGCTCAAACGTGAGCCCTACCTGTTCGACGCGGGTTTTTAACCCGTCCTATTGCCATAACTAGAAATTACTATTGGCACCCACGCTGCCGATATCGATCCCGCTGAAGAACAGCGACAGGACAGAACTCCAAGGGCTCCTCGATTCGCTACCGTTGAATTCGGCGGACGTGTCTCGCGAAATCAATGTATTCCCGTCATTTTCGTTTGTCATCGTCATAGTGGAACAGGATATCCTACCTCCTCCACAGCCGTAGCAACCACCGTTCACCTCGGAGTGTGAATCTTGTGGTGCAGTGGTCAGCTGTAGCAACCCGCTCCGCCGATGAACGACCGAGGGAATCTGAAAAGCGCAGTTGCCTGTTCTTGCTGGGTAATTATGTGAGGTCAACGAATGACCTCACATAATTACCGACATCCAAAATTCCTTCCCTGACTCCCACATCTGGGCGGCGGCGAGTTTGGGCAATAGCACGGCGGCGCCAGGATTGATTTTTAGGGCGTCAATTTTGGCCAGGCGAGAAAGAGGGGGAAGCCTTTGGGGTGCCGAGTTGATTGTTTTTAGTTTAAGTCATTTTTGGTTTAGGGGCAAAATTGTCCTAACAATTGATTTTAGGGCGATGAATTTAAATATTTAGAGCGTTAAATAGAAATCCAGAATACTACAACTCAATAAAACATTGCCAAACAAGTTACTTAAGCCCAAATAACTTATTGTGAATTATTTGGATCCAAATAACTCATCCAATAAATCCATCCCATCGACCCCGAAATCCAAAACATATTCATTTCGTATAAATATTTAATTTTCATTGACACATTTAAATATGAAGCTCACAATAAAACTAATATTTTTATGGTTTGGTTCGAACAAGAAAACATACAAGCGAAACAGTGCGTCAACTAAGTCAACAAACAAAGCTGACGAAAACTATAGGACCCACAGCCCGCATGAAGAAATCAAAGGAAAGAGCAAACAAAGATGTTCGGTCAATCATCAAGATCTAACTTCACAAGTCAGCAAAGTCAAGCTTATGCTGCTACAGCCATGATTCATATCACGTGCTGTGATTCTCCTGTAACAGTATTTTATATGCGATTCAACCATTCCCAGTTTTCTTACCAACCCTACTATTCTTCCCTCTCCTCATTCAACCACTCACCAATGGTGGAAGTAATCCGACTTCATAGACCAAAGATGCAACCAAGATTTAAATCATCAAACCAAATTAAACCAAGTGAGGACAAAAGTGTTTTTAGCAAATAAAGGGAAACAAGAGTTACCACTTACCAGTAGAATGGCGTAGCTTAGCTGGGAAGGTGGTGAAAATGATGAGAGATGACAAGGAAAGGAAGGGGCAAAAATGACGGTGATATCAAGGTGGCGTGAATAGCGACTTTGGCTCGGTAGCTCTATGTACCAACATAGGTGGACCCAAATAAACAAACTATAGCCATTTTAGTGATTTTGTTGGCCCTTTCTTCTTCGTCTTGGTGTTGATGGTGGTACCAAACAACCTCCACCTTCCAGCAACGTTTCCCCTGCCGTCCTCTGTCGTTTTGCTTCATTGCGTTTCTCTCTTTGATCGCGCGGTAAATACCACGCTGACCCATCGCTTTCACTGAACTTACTGAAATATATTGCAGCAATGGGGAAAGCATATTGTGGTAGCTTCATGGTCATGGGTATGTAATGTAAACCCCTTCTCTGCACCTACATTTTCTGGGTTCTTATTTACTCTGTTCTGTTCTTCATCTTCTTCCTTCTTTTCTTTGAAATTGCTGTGGGAATTGATATGGAGGCCTCAGCCATGTAGGAAAGCTTCCAACTTTGCCTTCTTTCTGTTCAAAAAAGGAACGAGAGAGTTCCTTTTTGATCCGTTTCTGTGTTTTTCTTTCCCTTTTTCCCCTTCTCCGGATCCCATTTACTGGGGCTAGTATGGATTACGGGTTTTGGCTTTGAATGCCAGCCGATACGAGTTAACTGGGAGAAACGGGCTGCATAGGGGATTGAAATTGGATAGATACTCTTTTTTTGTCTTATGGGGTTGTAACGTTTGGAGAGAATGCTTTGAATGAGAGCTACTACATTTACAGCATGGGGTCAAAGGTCTTTGTTTGAAACCGAGTAGACTTTGGGTCTCAAGGTTTCTCTCTAGATCAGCTTAAAGATCATTTTCGTTTCTAGCTTTCCCACATTTAGATCCTGGGTTGCCGGCTGTGGGAAGTAGGAACCCGAATTACATTAGTAGAGATTTTGTTTTTATTGAGTGATGTGCGCAGTTTCGTAGTTTCTGGCCCGATTGATTTTGGTAGCTGTTATTTTCTGAAACCTGGGTTGTTTCAGGTTTGGAAAATAATTTTTTGAACATGAAGAGGAGGGTGAGCTGATGCAGGTAGTCAGACAAGCAAAGGAGGCCTGTGTTTCTGAAGTCGGAGAGCCATCCATTTGATTCAAGATGCAAATGGCTTCCAGTGGAAACACTATTGAAGGAGCTGATTTGAAAGGTATGATGCAGGTTCTGGATGAGAAATTTGATCAGTCCATGGGTGCAGAGGCTGGAAGACTGAGAATAAATAAGAATGATGGGAAGGTAGGTATTCTTTGCCGTCTGTTTTCTACATGAACAGGTTTAGTTGCCGTTAGAGCCTGATCATAATATTGTTGATTTCATGATCGATAATGTCAAGTACCCGGTCGCTAATGGTGATTCGGTTTTGTTTCTTCAGAAACACTCCACTTCACTGGTTTTGTGGCTTGCATTCCAAAGCCTTGGAGTTGTCTATGGGGATTTAGGCACTTCTCCTTTGTATGTCTTCTACAACACCTTCTCCGACGGAATCAAAGATCCTGAGGACGTGATCGGAGCTTTATCATTGATCATATACTCCCTCACTCTTGTTCCGCTAATAAAGTATATCCTTATCGTGTGTCAAGCAAATGACAATGGCCAAGGTAGGTTGTACTAAATGTCTTCTGTGGAATTTGCAATAAATTTGAGATGCACTGAAATGGTGGGAACTGTTACACCTCTATCTGGACGATTCATAGCACCAGTGCCAACTTCAAAGTTTACAATCTCCTCTGTTAATTGACAATGACATAGTACCAAATAAGTGAAAATGATGAATAACGATCACTTGTGTGTATAGTTTTTAGGGATAAATCATATAAGCTTTCCTAATTGACTTGAAGTGTATTGATGTTGGGTTATGTCTATGAAGCATATATAGTAAGGCTCTTAGTTGGAGAGAACAGAAGCATATCTTTCTGAAGTGGATGTATTGATATGCGTGCTTTTCCATTTGTTTTATGAGACTATGTCAGCTTTCCTTTTACGCTTATGCTTGTTATGGAACAGGTGGAACATTTGCTCTCTATTCACTCTTGTGTCGTCATGCAAACGTAAAGACTATTCCTAACCTAGACCACACAGATGAGGAGCTAACAACATTTAGTCGTTCCAAAATTCATGAAAAGCCATATGCTGCCAAGACCAAGAGATGGTTGGAGGAAAAATCATCCCGTAAGAATGCGTTGCTTGTTCTTGTGCTTGTTGGCTCGTCAATGGTTATTGGGGATGGGATTCTTACCCCAGCTATATCAGGTATCCTATTTTCCAATATTATGATGAGTGTACTATTTGTTTTATGTATTTCAGCATATTTGATAGGCAGGTGCTTAAGTTAGATCCTTTTGTTATCATTGGCAGTGCTCTCAGCAGTCCAAGGAATCAGATTAGACTGCCCCCACATGAGTAATGGTATCTCTCCACTGAACCATTTTGCCATTACTGTCAACCACTTTGCTTTCTATCCAAGTAGTTTTTTTTTTTCACTTTAAATCTAACACTGGCTTTGGTTTGTTTTGAACAGGTGCAGTCGTCCTTGTTGCCGTCATAATTCTAGTAGGCTTGTTTTGTGCACAATACCGGGGGATAGATAATGTTGGTTCGGTCTTTGCTCCAGTGGTCTTCATTTGGTTCCTCCTAATTGGAGGTATTGGTATATTCAACATATGGAAATATGGGACAGTTGTCCTGAAAGCGTTTTCACCAGTTTATATATACCACTACTTCAGGAAGGGAGGGAGAAGTGCTTGGCTCTCCCTCGGAGGTATTATGCTCAGTATAACAGGTGAATTTTCTTCATCTTCCCCTTTTAGTGATTCACAAAGAAAATAGGTGAACCCCATTCTGATGGTTATTTGCATACTATTGCAGGCACAGAGGCTCTTTTTGCTGACCTATCACATTTCCCAGTTTTAGCTATTCAGATTGCATTTACAGCGGTAGTTTTCCCATCGCTTCTGCTTGCCTACACTGGTCAGGCTGCCTACCTCTTGAAGAACCCCGATCACGTATTTGATGCATTTTATCGATCCATTCCAGGTCTGTAATGGTTCTAGCTGCCATACTCGAGTTTCCTTGGGTTAGTGCCACAAGAAGTGGATCTGGATTGCAAAGTTGGTGGAACTGACAAATGATTCTCATATACCGTATATAAAACACTTAAAGAAATTACTGTCCTATGTTTTCCTTTTTGGGCTGCAATTCTGTACTTTAGAACTTGTATCTGGAGGCTCATTTCCAAATGGTACCAAAAACCAATGAAAGCATGCGGCGAGATTTTGAAGAGAAAGGAGATATAGGAAGTCATGAAAGTGTTCTTTCTAATGAATTTCTAGTCCCTCATGGTTTATTTTATTACTTCTGCAGCGAGCATCCACTGGCCGGTGCTCATCATTGCAACAGCAGCTGCAGTTGTTGCTAGCCAAGCCACCATATCTGCTACATTTTCCTTAATTAAGCAAGCCCTTGCACTCAGCTGCTTCCCAAGAGTCAAAGTTGTGCACACATCAAAAGAGTTCAAGAGGCGGATATACATTCCAGACATTAACTGGGTCCTCATGATCCTATGCATTGCTGTGACTGTCGGATTCAAGAATCAAACCCAAATAGGAAATGCTTCTGGTAAGATCAAGATCCTGTTGCTTCCTGCTAACTGTCAAAATGATTTTTGTGGAATATGTATAACATAATAAAAAAGTTTGTCTGAAATTTATGAATTGACTTTGTCATAATAATAGGTACGGCAGTGGTGATAGTGATGCTGGTGACAACATTGTTAATGACATTGATCATGATATTAGTGTGGCGCTGCCATTGGCTTCTCGTCCTCATCTTCACTGCTCTATCCCTTGTTGTGGAAGTCACCTACTTCTCATCCGTGCTCTGCAAGGTCAATCAAGGCGGGTGGGTCCCACTCGTCATTGCAGCGTCATTCTTCATCATCATGTATGTCTGGCACTATGGCACCATGAAACGCTACGAGTTTGAGATGCACAGCAAGGTATCAACCGCGTGGATCCTTGGTCTAGGGCCCAGCTTGGGTCTTGTCCGTGTCCCTGGCATTGGCTTGGTATATACGGAACTACCTAGAGGGATCCCACACATCTTCTCCCACTTCATCACCAACCTGCCAGCCATCCATTCCGTCGTCATTTTCGCCTGTGTGAAGTACCTTCCTGTTCATACCGTCCCCCAAGAAGAGCGGTTCCTTATCAGGAGGATAGGGCCAAAGGCCTTCCACATGTTCCGATGTGTCGCCAGATATGGTTACAGAGACCTACACAGAAAAGATGAGGAGTTCGAGAGGAAGCTGTTCGATAGCCTCGTGGCATTCGTTCGCCTCGAGTACATGATGGAAGATTGTTCCGACTCGGATGATGATTACAGCATTTGCGATGATCAGGGAAGTGACAACAAGTCGACTGCAAACTGCGATGGAGCCACATTCTCTTCTGCCGACACGATCATTGCAGTGGGTTGTTCTGGAGCCAGCGACGCCATCATTAGGGCAGCAAGTAGCGGAATGCAGATCGACGAGGTGGAGTTTCTGCAGATGTCCAGGGATGCGGGGGTGGTCCACATTCTTGGGAACACAGTGGTAAGAGCGAGCGGTGGTTCCAAGTTGTGCAAGAGGATAGCCATTAACTATGTATATGCTTTTCTTAGGAAGATCTGCAGACAGAGCAGTGCGCTTCTTAATGTCCCTCATGAAAGTCTCCTCAACGTTGGGCAAATTGTTCATGTCTGAAGATCCTTCACGTGGCGTGTTCTTCTTGTTGTTAGTTAGGAAGGCTTTGGGTAGACTTTTGGAAGTGTCCTTGAACTAGTTTCACTTTAATTGGTAAATGAAATGAATGTAGTTAGTTAATGGTAAACCAGCCACGTGCTTTGACCTAAACATTGTTTCTAGCCGGTTTGAACTTATGTTACCTAATCAAAGGGAGCCAAATCAAGTTGGTATGGTCAAAACTATCGTCCCTCACAAACAAGAACAAGAGAATTTTACCCACTAAAAGCAACTGCGTGCCCAAAATTCCCAGTCAGTCTTGGTTAGGCACACACCTGGGAATATTGCTACAAGGCTTGGTTCAAATTCAACCGTTCTGTACAAGTCTATGTCCACTCTCTTTACGTCCATGAGACAAGAATTTATTTCCACTTTCCCTTGCACCTGTTCACAGGGATGGTCAGAAGGATGAGTTATGGTCACAACCCGATTCACAACTCACTTCCTGGTAGAGGTGGCAAATGGATTGGATTGGTGGATTGGTGGATTGGATGGTGGATCCATGGATCAAATGGATTGGATCTAATGGATTGGTGGATTCATGGATTGGATCAAGTGGATTGGTGGATTATCCATGAATCCAAATGACATCCTCAACCAAGGACCAATATGTAAAATGTAAAAAGTTTAGGTACTAAAATGTCACAATGAAAAATTTTAGGTACCAAAACGTAATTTTCCAATGATATTTTTCGTATAAAAAATAAAATTTTAGGTACCAAAATGTAAAAAAATAAAAAGTATAGGTACTAAACCGTAATTTGCCAATGATCCATGGATCCAATCCATGAATCCACCAATCCAATTGGATTTGGATCAAATGGATTGGATTTAAATGGATTGGATTATGTGGATATTTTCAATGGATTGATGGATTGGATTGGTGGATTGGATTGAAATTGCCACCTCTACTTTCTGGCCATTGGATACGTTCTCTTTTGTCTCTCTCTTATTTTTTTTCAAATTGATGATTAAGATTAAAGGAATGGTATTTTCGGAATGAAAAAACTTACCACATAATTACATTTCCTATTTTCTATATAAACCCTCTTTATTAACAAAAAAAAAAAAAACCCACTCTCCCCTCCTCTCACGTTCTCTCCCTCATCTCTCCCCTCTCTCTTCTCTCCCACAAAAAACTCTAGTCGTGCTGCCGCTGTCTCCCTCAATCTCTCCAGCCGCCGCTGCCGCCTCCTCTTCGTCTCTCCATGCCGCCGCCACCACCTCCTACTACCTCCGACCATGGCGCAACCTCCACCTCCCGCTGCCACCGCCACCCACCACCACCACCAAACCGCATCTGCCTCCCCCTTCCTCCGCCTCCCACCTTCTGTCTTCAGGTCGTCGGCGTGAGGTCACCGTCTGTCCGCTCCCTTCCTCTCATCTCCTGATTTTTTTTCCAGATTTGGAATTTTTCTGATTTCATATCTGGTTTTTTTGTGCATTCTCTAGTGGTACGTACCAGTGACTAGTGATAGTTTTTGCGTAATAGTAGTGTTAGTGGTACGCTTCCACTACCATGTACCAAATGATAGTGGTACACTACCACTACTAGGTACCGGATGGTACTGATACGCTACCACTAGCTCTGGACTGATAGTTATACCAGTGGTAGTGGTAGCGTACCACTAGCGCACTGACGGAGTGATAATTTTTTGCAGGTGGCCGGAGCGAGTCTGATTCAAGAATTTCGCCGGAGAAAGTCTGTCGGTCGGAAAGTCAACCGGTCGGAGTAGAGTGTCTGCTAGAAAAGGAAGAGAGAGTTGTGTTTATTGTAGGATTTAAATTTAAAAAATACATGTATTTAATATGTGTTTTTTATTCCCAATCTGTAATTAATACAAAAAAAATAATTAATAAATTCATTTTTTTGTTATGCCCAAAATACCCTTGATTGTGAATCTCACAACCCGCTTGGGGGAAGTGACCATATCCCACCCCATCATCATATTGTAGTTCTAAACGACTGAGAGACGGTGGAAAAAAATGCCCAGGTACATGTCTTTTTTTTTCAAAAGATATCAAATATTGATTCAAAAAAATAGATAGTTACATCCTGGAAACCAGCCAGGCCAAGAAATCAAGAAGCGACTCATAATCGGATACAAAGAGAGGGTTTTTCTAGCTACCGAATGAGCTACCCTATTGTTCTCTCTACTTACAAAACGCACACTAAAACTAGGCTGGGTGCATAAATAATGACCTATCTCTTCCAGGACAACACCCAACCAGTTATCTCTTGTGTCGGCTTGGCTTGATTAATTTTGTCAATAATCAATGCCCAGGTACATGTCTATAGCAAAGAAAGTATGATCATTAACTACATCACCTGTATGAACTCAACCCAAAACTGAAAAACAATAGGCTGTTAGAAGGACGGTACTCGTGTTTATGAACACATAATCACACCAACAAAAAGTTACATTTAAAAGACTCCCCTTTATGAACAACGAGGACCCAGAATTCTCCCAGCTGTACAGACTAATTCCCACTGTTTAAGAAGTTCAGTAATACCTATTGACACCAAAAATAGTAGTTCTCTGCACACAAATACTAATCTCTTATCTCTCACTCTGTCATTTTTTTCTTCTTCCTTTTAATATTTTTAAGCACACATCCTATAGTTCAACCCTTACAATTGGCGGGCGACGGTGCCGCACACAAGAGGATGAAACAAGTGAAAACCAACTCTTTCTTTTACCATCGAATCGATGACAATGGACCCACCAAGGGGAAGGCAGGTGCAGCACCCTACTTCTGTGCCTGGTTCTGAGGCTGATGATTCTGTTGTCTGGTTTGAGATGCTGCGGCAGACATGACACGCAATCGTCCGGCAATTTCAGTGAACGCTGGGCGTGCCAAAGGATCTGGTGCCCAGCATTGCTCCATTAGCAATTTCCAGTCCGGGTCACAGAAGCCTGGTACGGGAGGCCTCAGTGTGTTGTTGACAATGCCACCTGCAAGAGGAAATAGGGAAGAGAACCAAGCAAAAATCAGGTAGGACATATTCGGCTCACAGGAAAATCATGTACTGGCATCGCCAGTTATAACTGGATGGGTTGATATGATATAAGATGATAAAGAAAACAAAGTTGGTCACACACAAACCTATAATTGCTCCGTAATGCATATTGGCATAAGGTTCCTCACCGGTAAGAATTTCCCACAGCACAATACCAAAGGAAAATACATCAACCTGCCAGCATACTAAGAATCAATACAATGCCAGAAATTTGGAAGACCATATGTCTGACCGTCCATAATCATATAAATAAACAACTTATGGACTGGTAACTTGACACAGAAGTGCAGGACAAAAGCAATCCGAAGAGTTTCCCTTCGCATGGAGCCATACATGAACTAAGAGATTGCATATGAATGAGAAGTGGGTCTTTTATCACTTCCTTGGATGGTCAAAGAGTAGTACCTTTTCAGAAACTTTACTGCTGCTCCCGTTCAGCAGTTCTGGAGCCATCCACGGGAGTGTTCCCCTCACACCACCAGTAACTAATGTGTTCCTTTTGATTTTTGACAAACCAAAATCACCTACCTGCAGAAACGTAAACAGGTGATGAAGTTCTTTGGAAACCACAGCAACCAGGAAACGAAGGGGGGGGGGGGGGGGGGGGGGAACGCAACCACCATTAAATAGGCAGCACGCTGCCTTGCTCTCTAATTCTGGCTCCAGAACTACCAGTTCCCAGAAAAATAATTTACCTTGCAAATGGGTCGCAGCGGATCTTTCAAGTTGACAAGCAAATTATCACATTTCAAATCAAAGTGCACGATGTTCTTTGAATGCAGGTATTCCATTCCAAATGCAGCATCCATTGCGATAATGAGCCTCTTACGACGATCAAGATGCCTAAATATTAAAAAAAAATTGCATACCATGTCAGAGCGAGTGATTGAAGACTATAAACAAAGTGAGATGCACAACTAGGCACTAGCACTACCTCTCCTTGCTCAGCAGCACATGTCTAAGAGAGCCATTCACCATGTACTCTGTCACAGTGGCCAGTGTTCCACCTGGTCCATCCTGCACCACCCCATACAATGCCACGACATTGGGGTGATGAAGTTTTGACAGAATGTCTGCTTCCCGCCAAAACTCTACTGTCTGAAATACAAGACACAATCATGAGATTGAATGGACAAGACGTATCAGCACCCATGATTTACAGGATTCCCACTAATCATTTCATGTCAGTGGTTAGTGTACTTGTTTAGTATTTCTGTTTGACTACCAAACTGAAAAATGTTGTAGCCCAGAACACAAGAAGCCAATGCAGCACACAATCAGATATTAAGTCAGTTAAAGGAAGCTAAATCCTACTTACAGAATGGTAGGCTATGGAGCTATAGCTTTGTCGAATAACACCTTTATAACAACTCCACTATCCAAGCAATTATAGTGGCTTACCAGCCTTTCCTGCTCTGATGGCCGCCCAGTGAAACAGCTCTTTTTTATTCGCTTAATGGCAACATCTGAACCCCTCCACTTTCCATGATAGACTGTCCCAAAAGTTCCTGAACCCAATTCCCTCAACTCTTCTAGATCTTCATTTTTTATTATCTGAAAAAAGAACAGTTGTCAGAATATACGAAAACTAATATGCTGTCAGAAAGAAAAGTAAGCCAAGAAGGAAACAACGCATGGAAGCTTCATGCTACTAAATTGAAGTTGCATCAGCTTTTCCCATTATGGCAGGCAAAACAACCAATTCATACATCTGTAACTCCAAAAACCAATTGCAAGTAGAGAGATTTTCAAATTGTGTTTGTTTGTGCCTGTGAGTGGTAGCTGAAACTTAGTAAAAGTTCCAGATAAAGAACAAACTTAGGGCATATTGAGTTTGCTCTGGCTGTAGCAAGTTCCCGCAGCAAGTATTTTTATGGGGGTGTTCACAGAACCATCCACAAACAATAACCATAATCCCCCCACAAGTTTCAGGCCAGTGATGAACAAGAGTATGAGGAGAAACCTCAACAATATCAGTGAGCCACTAGAAACTGTATCTCTCTGTCCAGACCTCTTACCACTATCGAGATAAGATACTGACAGTACTACCATCGGTATCCAAGAATTCCCAAAGTCGCAGAAATATATTAATGAAAGCACAGACATTACTTAGGGGCTTCAGATTGATGAATTGAGCAAGCAGGATACGAATACACATTTTATCAGGATTGTCACCCTTAGGAATCATGTTGCACTAAGATAACACAAATGGCTACAGATGCATAATTAACTGACAGAATCTGGGCAAATCCTTCAACCATAATGGCCTAGCATATACACCGCAACAGCAGTAGCGTCCTGCAAAGTGATGCTTGCTATATTCATCCATTTTAACAAAGCAGAAGAGACATGAAATCTTGTCTAACTAGGAAGATTTAACCAAATATCAAATTGAGATATCAAGACACTGGTAAATCAATAGTTTGCTACAATTAAAATTCATGGAATCTGGGGTATCATGTTTTGTGAAGTCTTCGTGCATGTGAAACAGAACTAAATTCCATACAAGCAACCTCAACTAAATGAAAGGAACATCTATATCTTCACTGATTTTCAGTTACTGTAATAAACAAGTATTGTTAGAAAAACTGCCCATGTTCACCTGTAGCGTACTGATGTCAAAATCTCCAAGAGAAATGTCAAGAAGTGGTCCGGCAGTATTATTTACATCCGACTTCCCATCCTGACAGTGACAGTGTATTTGAACAGATACGGAAATATTAGCATTATGATCCATGATATGCAGATTATGACGTGCTATGCAACAGAAAGGGTACCTCGTATTCAGATTCTGGCATCCTCGAGTTGATTCCATCCAACTGTAAGCTCTCCTGGCCTTTGAGCTGAGAATGGCTATAGTCCAGTGTTTGAGTCCCAACAATAACGGATTTCTGTTGTTGGATGTCTTCATCAAAGTTAATGGGTGGGTCCATTTCCGGCAAGGAAATGCCACCAGTTTTAAAAGGAGGATAGCTGTAATCAAGAGGAGTGCTCCCTTCAGCAGTTGTCAAAGAGAGGGGAAAGGCAGGATGATCTTGATCCATAAGGGATACATCCTTCCTCAAAAATTGATTCTGCGCCAAGTTCCGAAAGTATGACCATCGTTTTGGATCAAGATTCTCCACGTTCACACTCAAGCCAGCTCCATCAACATGCATTGGGCCAATGGTAGAGCTGTTCTCATGGATCTTGGCTTGTGAAAATATATCAGATAAAAAATCACGAGAAAAACGCTCATTGATATCAATAGTAATCTGCTCAGGAGCACCAATGACAGCAGACTTCACATTAGAAACAGCTCCTCCGGGGTTCTCTATCTGTTGTTTGGGAAGTTGCATCTGCCCCTTAGCATTGCTGCCAATATTATTATTGTCGGCTATATCAGACTGATCAAATTCTGATGACCTCGTAGCAGAACTCTCCAGGTGCTTGCTGGAAGGTCCCTGAATCTCACTTGCATCTGGATGCATCAATCCCGAACCTTCCTTTTTGGCTTTCAACTGAGAAGTTTCTGAAATTTCAGTGCTATTAAAGAATACATGCCTAGAGTCAGACTTCTGCGACTTTGACTCCTTCACTGGGGGAACATGAGAACTGGGTTTACTCATATTATCGGCCAATTCCTTGTACTGTTCAAACTGAGCCAGTCCATCCTGAATGGTCTGAGGATTTACATGATGCCCTTTTGCAGATGGGAGAGACTGTTCAGGCATGAGCGTTGCTGGAGTATCATGTAACTTATTAACTGAATCATTGACTAGTTGAGAAACACTAGAACGTGCCTGATTCATTAGAACCTGTGGATCAAATGAATCTTCAGATTTTGACAGGCGATGTAATTCTGCCTGCTCTCTGGGAAATCGCTCGGAGTGAAAGACAGGTTGAGGAACTACAGGTTGTTCAGGGTAGCTACAGTCTGTCAGAACAGCCTCGGACTGGGGGGGCGAAGGAATCACCGGACGAGTATTGATCATCCCCTGCATTCTTCTTTCCTTCACTTAAATTCTTAGGATTCTGTAAACCTTCCTGAGGTCTTGTATTACTTTTTGTAGGTCTTGTAGCTGCAGCTTCCTCTTTATGAACATTATTCGGTATAGACACAGCTTCATTTATCTTATGGAGTGAGCCATCACGTTTCATCTTCAGTTCCTTTGGTGCCTCCTTATCTGCATTTTGAATTGCATCTAACTCATGTATCTTCTGGCTAGAGCTATCTCTTCTCAGTTTGTTACCCTTGATAGATGCTTCTGCATTTTGCACACGAGCGCCACCCTGTGTCGTCTCCTCAGCCATACCCCCTGTCTTAGTAGGATGCCCATGGAGAGGCACAGGCATCAAAGTCTCTCCAGATGTTCCATAGCAAGAAGGGTGGTTAAGGATAGCATATTTCTTTGCGTTAGAGGAGTTAGAACCTTCCAGTTGTTGCAAGCTCGCCACAGGTCGAGTTGAAGTTATTGGGTACTGACTGGCACCCAAATGATGGGTATTCTGTCCCTGATAAGGTTGTGCAGAAGGGATGGATGAAGTCAAAGCCCCCGGTTGAGAAGATTGAATAGCCAAGGGAGGCTTTGTAACTGCCGAAGGTGATATGGTAGGAATGGATGTGACAGCTGCAACTCGACTATTCTCCCTTTCAACGTTGAGACTATGTAACTCATCCAAGTTGTTTCCAGATGCACTTGCTAAATTGATGGAGTTTTTCCTTGAACCAAAATCCATACCGTTCACAGCAACAACATATTGTATCTCAGAATCACAGTCCACACTTCCCAGACCACATGTTCCATCCTCCAAGTCATAGCTGGAAAATAGAAACATCCTGGGCTTCTGTGAACCTCCATCATCTAGTAAACTACATTCCTCCATCATGTTCTGAAGATCCTCATCACATGATACTGAAACAAGCGCATCAAGATCTTCACCTGGAAGCTGGTACTTCATCGTGTGAGGTTGATTGCAAATGGCCAAAGTCTTCCGCACTAGCTCTTTCCAAGAAATATCCTTGCTTATCCGAATTATGCGTGTTTCACCTCCAACATATCTAAGCTTTCCATCACTTGGGCGTGGCAAAATGGTACCACCGAAGCTGCAGAGAAACTTTACCTTAACAGATGAACAATCTGATGGCCCCGATGAAGTATTACTCTGAGTTCCTCGCCTACTGTCATTTCTTGATGAGGTTCTTGGCACTGATCGCACTGAATCATGTTCCTGTTTGGGAATAACCTTCCTTTCAAAGTCCTGAGTACGCCCTTTTTCCACACCGTTGATCATTGCGATATCTGACCCACTTTCTGACCCCTTTAAATCCATGTAGCCAGATCCACTACTAGGATCTACATATGGGTTTGGAGGGAAGTGCTGCTGGGGATTCACCCTTTCCCGCATAAATTCAAGGGAAAACTCCTCACCCGTCTGAATGGAGTAATTGAGTACAGGTCTGGCTCTAATTGATAAGTTGTAATCAGGAGGGCGCAAGTTAGTGTTAATGTTGGTCGAAGGATCATGCAAAAACCTTTGGCTGGTGGAACTAGGTCCCTCATTTCTAGTCTCAACATTATTATACCAAGGTTGCTCGTAATTCGCTTGATCCATCACAACCTTGCTCGGATTCTTTTCCATCAAGGTTAAGCAAACCAGCAAGGTGAGACTTCAAGGAACGCCATATCAGTCCAAAAGCAGATCCGTGGATGAGCAGAAACTTAGTCCGCAAAATGACATCTCTACTGTAACAGTAAGAAAAAATCTTTCACCAGTAAGCCTCTCTGTTAAGCTCATAGAAACCAAATTTGACTACAAAATTGAGCTGCGAGCTCGGCACATGCAAAACCAATTCATCCATGGCTATGACAAGGACATCATGCAGAGACCAAGTAAAATGTCAGGATGGAAAATAATCAACTTCCTCGGAGAAAACCCCCGAGAAAGCAAAAGGTGATCCCAACGAATTGGAGACAAACAAGCTGATAATTTACTCAAGTCAAAGACTTTTTACATCCCACAGTCTTCATTCAGCTAGAAGCTATAAATTACAAGGCGAAATTCAAACTAAAACCCTAACATCAGTCAACGGGAGGAAGCAGATCAAGCCTCGGTGAGCTGTAATCCAACTCCCCGTTAATCCCAATTCAACGTTTTTCCAACTGACACTCCAAAATAGGCCTAAAAATCACTTCAAATCCAATCTCCCCGAGAGGGGCGGAGGCCGGGGCAGACGAAATTAGTGATCTCGTCGACAGTAGCAGATACCCAAAGAAGAAGAAAAACTCAAATCGGAGGGAAATTGGACTGGGAACAAAAAAACATTGGAAGGCATAAGTGAAGTACTAGTACCTGAGAAAGACCGTAATCGTAATCTTTGTGAGTTGTGACCGAGCTCAGCGCAAAAGAAGCAGAGAAATCGGGGGGACAAGTCTACCCTTTTTGTCTTTGAAAATGTGTTTTCAGTTGAACATTAGGAGGAAGGAGCCCAAATTTAATTTTCCATCAAAAGATGAGAGAAACGGAAATAAAACAAAAATCTACCCAATAAATAAAATCCAAATGAGAAAACTTGAAACCCCATTTCAAATTTTTTGCATTCACAGTGAAAATAGAAAGGATATTTTGGTCTTTACAAAAAAAAATTTTATTCATTAAAAAGACACATACTAGAATTTGAACCAAGACCACTATAAAGAAAAACAAACATCATAACCAATCACACTAAATACATTTGTTGTATTTTTTTAAATTAAAAATATATAATAGCAGAGAGGAAAAAACTCTTCCCCCTTTTCAAATTCCCTGCTCCATGAGCGTTTGTAGGAAGGGTAGAATAGGAAGTGCCAACTTTTTTCGTTTTCCTCTGTGGAACGGGTCATCTTACCGTACACATGCAGATTTAAACGGGTCTAGGAGTGTCAATTTTTTTCTTTAAGTCCTTTTATTTCTCCGTGGTGGTAAAATATATATGAAAAGGGAAAAACAATACTCCTTTTTATTGCTAAAAAGAAAAAAAAATTTAACAATAAACTAATGCATGGATTCTAATAGGCTAACCGCTAACCATAAAATAAAAGAGTTGAATGGCCCTGACCTACACGAGATTTGCCCATCAAGTAAAACAAATGAACATCATGGGTTTGTCATTCTAAAACAAGTTATTTTCTCTAGCATAATATATATTATGCTATTATTTTATATCTTAGTGGCTAAAATATAATGTTTTTTAAAGTTATTCAATGGTTCAACCTCGACCAACCCAATTAGTCCAATTTTTATCATTTCAAATATATATTATGTAATTATTTGATATCATAATGATTAAATTATAGTGTATATTATAGGGAATCGTTTGGTATTTGTTAGTAAAAAACTAAACAGAAAGATCTATTTGGTTATTTTTAACATTAAAACAATCCTAAACATTTTCAGTTTCCTTTCGAAATTCTATAGTTTTATTCCCGAATCAGTGATGTGCAAATGGCGAATTGAAGTCATCTCTTTTCTTTCATTATTTTTTATTTTCAAATAGAAAGTTTAAAAGTAAAGAATAATTAGAGTTTGGCATGGGTCGGTCAAACATGATGAATTTCAAGTTTTGGCCCGTTTTGATCAATCTAATTTATAATCACATGGTTCCCTGATACCCGATAAAAATCTCAATCCAAATCTTGTTGTTCATTCTTGATTTCTTTAGATTTTATCATGGCTTGGCAAAAACCAGAAAGCACAATGACGACAAGATGAAAGTTTTGTAAAGCAAATTAAAGCAAATTACTCCACCTCATCATATTACCAGAAACAATATTGTCTCACAAGGTAACAGGTACTTGATTTTGGTTCATAAGGTTGATTTTTGATTCGTTGCATCATTCATGTCTCTTTCCTACTAAAATTCACTATTTTTATCACGTGTTTCCAAAAAAAACTATACAATAATAAGCTATACACCCCATTACATTATCAAATTCATACCTCGCCTTCCTCCGGGCAACTGGTCGGGGCCCACGCTAGTACTTCTTAATTGGATGATAGGATGGTGGGTGTATAACTCTTTATTAGGCACAACATTATTAGATTTGCAACCTTGATTACAAATGGAGCATAAAGTGTTTATTTCATAAAAAATATAAAGAAAATATGTTTAGAAAAATTATAACTTTGTGATTATAAAAAGGGCTAATACCACCAGGAAACTCGAACTATCTAGATTGTGTCATTTGTGACCCGAACTATTCAATATGATATTTGTGTCCCAATATATGATAGTTGTGTGTCATTTGTGTCTTGACGATTTTGTTGACCGTTATAGATAATGGTTGACTAGACGGTGGTCAACTTGATGTTGACTTTTGCTGACATGGCAAAAATGTGACAGCCACGTAGATGCCACGTCATTGACACATCATATTTTAAATTCAAAATAAAATTCAAAATTTAAAATTTTAAAAAAAGTGTAAACTCAATTAGTTAATATTGTTTTTGAAAATTAAATTAAAATATAAAACAAGAAAAGGGAAATTGCCACCACCGCACCTATTCACTTTGCTCTTCAGCTTCTCCCCTGCCGATCTCGCTTCCTCCGATTACAACACAAATCACAAAATCACCAACCATCGCAAACCCCAAATCCGTCGTCATGAAATTCATCTGGTGAGTTTGTTGAGCTTCCCCAAATCTCTCTCTGAAAAACCCTGATCATGAACCATCGGATAATCCAAATCTCTCCTGAAAACCCTTCGCATTCTTCAATCTCCCCAGTTACAATGGCGGATACGGGCAAATCGCCATCACCAAAACCTTCAAGGTGAAACCAAAGCTCCAATCCAAACCTTGAAACCCATCGAAACCGCCATCGCCATCGAAAATCTCGTCTCCTCAATCCCTTCAATTGATTTCTCCTCAAATTCACTGACCTCTGATTTCTTAGCCGCTCCCAATTCGGTCTTCCTGACTTTCTTCACCGCTCACGACTTTTCCACCATCACCACCATCTCCACTCATCATCGTCGTCGACTTCTCACCGGTCAGATTAGAGTAGACGGGGGGTAGAGGAGGAAAGCGGTGAGGGGCAGAGGCGATACGGAGAGAGAAGGTCAGAACTCTCTCAATGAGAACATGGTTGGTCAACGCCAACTCCGCCATCGACAGCTTCTACTCCTCCCGTTCGAAGTCTGATTCGACGATTGTGTCACCGGGAAAGTCGATCTACTAGCACGGCTCCGACACCGAGCAGGGGCTATCGCTGGGAGTGGTGAATCTCTCGATCTGCTGGCCGCAGATGGTGATTTCGCTCGGGAATGGTCTCACTGTCGACAGGGAGGGAGGGTGACGAGAGAGGGGACGCCTGGGAGATGGAGTTTGGGACGAGAGAAGAGGATTTGGGTAGCAGATGGAGTTTTTTTTACCTGGTAGCAGATGGAGTTGAGGACAAGAGAAGAGGAAGAAGTCGGGAGCCTAGGAGGAGTTTTTTTTGTAATTTTTTTGTTTTAGTTTATTCATTTATATGGAAAATAACTATAAATTGATATTATAAATTCCATGCCAGATGCCACATTAGCGCTGACTAAACTTTCTGTTAAAAATTAACGGTCAACAGCGCTGACTAAACTTTCTGTTAAAAATTAACGGTCAACGCCGATCAACTCTAACGGAAAAATAGTTTAGGACACAAATGTCATATTGGATATTTTAGGACACAAATGACACATTATTAATAGTTTGGGTTTCCTAGTGGTATTTGCCCTTATAAAAATATATAACAGGTTTCAACTATTCTCATATGCAAGCTTTTATAACCACAATTGTATTTGGAGATAGATATTGATTGTCAATGAATTGGTATTTGATAATTTATATCATTTTAATTATTAATTTTATTGTTGATCATAAAGTTATAACCCAGTATTATAAAAATAAAAGTTATAACCCAGTATGTGGTGAGTTTTATCTTTCCATATTTTTTTTAACAAAAGATAGCTTGTATTACCAAGAAGAAAAGATCACAAACGATTACATCTCCGAATGGAGCCAAACGCAAAAATCAAACCCCTCGATAAGAGCGGGATACAAAGAAAGGGCCTTCCTAGCCACCCTATGGGCTACCCTATTGTTATCCCTGCCTACAAATCGAAGCACATCCGCCGAACCACTAGCCAACATCTCCTGAATCTCCTGCAGCACTGCTCCCCCACAGCAATCCCAAGCACATCCCGCCACTACTTTGTCAATGACGACCTTAGCATCCCCTTGGTAGCAGACACCGTGGACCCCCATCGCCCGACACCACAGGATCGCCTCCCGTAGGGCCATCAACTCCACTAGCATTGGGTCTGTAAGACCAACCAATCCCTTTCCCGTCGCCCTAACCACCACCCCATCCGGCCCCTGCAGGACAATCCCCACCGCAAAATGTGACGTCTCGCACACTGCTCCGTCAAAGGAGCACACCCAAGACACACCCTGAGGCCACCGAATCGGTCCTAGTACCGCCCCCTGCCGCCGATCTTGACGCCGCCCCTCCTCCACACCACTCGCCTGCCGCCATTCTTCCACCTGAATACGCCACTGGTTACTTAGGACCACCCTTTGGTACTGGCATCCCTCTAAAACCACCCAATTGCAAGACTTCCACACCCGCCAGAGCAGGGAGACGAAATGCATAAGGATCCCCTCATCAGACACCGCCTCCAGCAGCCGGCGAACAAACAACCCAACATTCACCTCCGGTAACCCAGCCCGAATATCCTCTCGCCCCTAATCGGCCCACAAATCCTTAGCCACTGGATTTGTATGAATGTATGATTTTATTAGCCATTTTTCGATCAGGAAATTGTGGTATCCCTTTGGTAGTTTGTGAATTTCATTAACGCTCCGACTTTGACAATGCGTGTTAAATGAGAAGGAGTCAAGATTGGACTGGTAGTAGGTCAATCTAGAGGTTATCTTAAAGTTATTTCTAGTGGTTTAACATTAGTTTTGTTTTACCCTCTTCCCCACCTAGAATGAAAACATCTTAAATCTAGCATGAGAATATGTTCCATAAACAAGAAATGCAGTAAGGATTGACAGATTAATAAATTCATTGCTTAGTTGACCATTTAAATTGTTGATAGATGTAATTACCAGTTGCAAAAGAGGCAATGTATAAAAAGGCCTAAGCAACGGTAGTGATGACAATTTTGGATTTGACCCGCACGACCCGCTTTATCCTGACCTGTTTGGCGCAGGTATTACCCGCCCTAGCAATAGCATGGTGCAGGGCATGTGTATTGCTTACGACTTGCCCCACCCTGTCCCGCCCCATTCGTGACCCGTTATATCCTAATTTGCATTCATATCTATATGTATTTATCCTCTTCTAACCTTTCTAAAATCACATTTTCATCCTAGAGAAAATATTAAGCTCTATCTTTCAACTATTTAGACTCAGTTATTCCTTCTATGATATTTCT